AGATGTTGCCTATAGAAATGACAATGGCGGGGGGGGGGGGCTTGTTCAGTAGATAACCATAGAAATGGTGACATGAATTGAAAGTGGGAAATTTCAAGGGCAAGCTGCATCAGGCTGGACTTAGCCGGGTTTGATTGCTGAACCTGACACAACCAGATTTGGGAGGGGGAGGGAAGAGAGAGAGAAACCCACAGCAGTTTTAGAGACACTCATGTCAAGTTTGAACTGGGCCCAGTGCCATTCAGATGTAGCAAAGTTACTTGACCAATTCTGACATGAAACAGTGCAGGGCAGGTTGGGCGCACTGCCAGGGTTTTGGTTTTGAATCCTGAGCTGGTTTTGAAAATGGTTTAAACAGGTCCAAGCTCCCACTGACACCAATTAAGTTCAAGCATAACCAGCACCAATTAAGTCTTGGAAACAGCTGGTTTGGAAAGTGAACCAATCAGGTTTGAAAGATGGGTACCCTGAAGGGGGATATAAGCTGAGATACAGAAGTAACTGAAAAGCCTTCTGGAACAGGGGCTGCTTGGGAGGGGGCCTGCCTGGGAGGCTTGAGTCAGCTTGAGAGGCTTGATTTGGTTGAGAAGGTTTGACTCTGCTGGGATGTTGTTTCAGGAGGAGATAGACATTCTTTTGTAAGTAAACTCTGTTTTTGTTACACCTTGAGCCTGAGCAGTGTCTTTCAACTGTGAGTGCACAGGTAAGAACCCCAAACAGTGACCTGTCCCCCAACTGCTCTGGTAGGGGCTCAGCCATAGGGAACAGGAAGACCCTGACCCCCACACTGCCAGGTATCCTGACTCAAATTGGGATTCCTGGGTTTCCCTGGTGGTGCAAGGGGTTAAACACAGCACTATGATGCTACCTGCAGTCTCTGCAACACAAGTTTGATCCCAGGCCAGCCAAGGGGCTACCCACATGGCACAGCAGACCTCTCCTGTCTTGCCCGCTGCTCCCCTCAGCAGTGTACTTCATTCAGTCTGCCTGTTCTGTTCACCAGTCTGTCTTTGGTGAATCTTCTTACCCCCCGCACCTCTGGCCTGTACCCCTGTTCTTGTGTGCATAAATAAATCTTTAAAAAAAATAAATTGGGGTTCCCAATCGGGGTTCTAGACAAAGCCTGTCAAGCAGAAGGCCAAAACAATGAGGATGATCTCTCCATATTGCTGACATTACATTTGATGAGAAATAAAAGAAATGAAGGTAGGAATGAAGGAAAAGGGAAGCTGAGGGCAGTCTCTTTACTTGGTGACCTAAATTTGACTCACTGAAAATTTTTTTTTTTTTTTTTGTTTTGAAAAGATTCATTTTATTTTCTTTTTTGTTCTGTTTCTAAGCTCAAATAAAGGCATCAATTTATTATATTTTGCAGCTTTCCTTATGTTTGACAATTCACTCTTTAAGTATATATGGATAGTTGGCATTTGAAAGATTCTAAAAAGTCTACGGCCATACCACCCTGAACGCGCCCGATCTCGTCTGAAAGATTCTAAAGAATTCAAAACCTGGCTAGCACCTATAAACAATTGGTTGGCATCTGCATATGGGACATGTATTTTTAGATAAAGCATCCACACACACACACACACACATACCCCTTTTGTGTGTCCTCACAAAGAGATTATATAATGTGTTATATAGCAGCTAACTTTTTAAGTAAATTTGACATAAACTAATTTCATCAGATTAAGACATGCTATATTCACATATCCATTTGATCAATATTTGTTGCTTAACTATTATGCCAAATACTGTGCCGGCTTACCTAGGAATACAGACATGAGTAAGCTATAGCCTCGAGAAACTTATAATAAAAGGAAATAAATTACTGATGTTAGAAACAAAATCATTAAAATATCTACCTTATTTCTTTTTTTTTTTTTTTTTAAATATTAAATTTTATTTTTATATTCCCCCATACAATTGCAAACGCCCCATTCTGACCCCAATCCTTCCCCTCCCGCCCCCCACCCCCCAAAAAGTGTCTCTGGTTCATAGTTTTTTGTTGATTTTGATTTTCACTTTCTTATATTCATTTTCCTGGTCCCTTATTTAAGTTTTCTAGATTCCTGCTATGAGTGAGACCATCGGTATTTTTCTTTTTCTTTTTGGCTTATTTCGCTGAGCATGATCCCTTCCCTCACTGAAAATTTTTAAAACAAAATCAAATTACAGACTTCCCTATTATTCAGCAATCAAAAAAGATAAACTCATGCCATTTGCAGCAACGTGGATGGAGCTAGAAGGAATTATGCTCAGTGAAATAAGTCAGAAGGAAAAAGAAAAATATCGGATGGTTTCACTTATAGCAGGAATATAGGGGAACCAAATAAGACATCAGTGTAAAAAAAAAAAATAACAGTACAAAACACAACAAAGCAAAAACAGACAATTATAAATCAGAGACATCCTGCAGGGGAGGAGGGAGAGGGATCAGAGGGAGGGAGGGAGGAGTACAAGGGACTGTGGTGATGGTACATGGGTGCATTTGTGACGGAAACTATGGGGACTACACCTGAGGGGGTGGGGGGAAGCAAATATTGTTTAAAAATGAATAATGATGTAAAAATTTAAAAATTTAAAAAATCATAGACTTCCCCAGAGCAGGGCAACATCTCTGATTTTGGCAGATCCCAAAGCAGAGGTATTTTAAAATATATTGCAAACAACTGAGATTTCTGAGCTTTAGCACTGGCCAGGTTAGCATTTAGTTCATTGAAACCAGTGAAGTTCACACTTCACACAAATTTGTTTCAAATGATCTCATTTTACAGTTTATACAAGAAGCTTCAATTCACACTTTTTCCATTTGTTTTGCTTTCACACTTCCAAACCAAGTAAGTCTCATTGCATTGTCATCCTCACTCCCAATGTATGGATAAATATAGAGGGAAATAATTACAGGGAGGAAAATAAGATTTGCATTTAAACACACAATTCACATTATTGAAAAGCCTCCAGTGCTTGCTTATCCACTACAGATCAACTGCAGAAAAGGTCATAGCTTTATTAGAAGCATAATTTAGGAATCCTGTAAAAACATTTAGGATTTAAACCCCACTTACTGAATGACCAACATATAGCAATTAAGTCATGTGTGAAATTGAATCCAACCCTGAGGAATATTTATATACATATTGTTTTAAACCCTGTCAGAAGGTTTTCCAAGAAACTGTATGCTAAAGGATCAAAGGCAGTTTAACCAACCCAGCTCCAGATTGCCAGCATCCTATCCTAAATCACCTTGGTGTTCATAAAACATTCAAATGTATTTATCATAGCCCATTTCGAAAAACCCATTTGTCCAGTAAAAGGTTATTTAAATTTTATTTTTTTAAAGATTTATTTATGCATACAAGAACTGGGGTGTAAGCCAGAGGTGTAGGGAAGGAAGGTGAGCGGATTCGCCAGAGAGAGTGGGGACCAGAAGAGGCAGATCTACTGAAATACACTGCTGAGGGGAGCAGTGGCCATGTCAGGAGAGGTCTGCTGTGCCATGTGGATTGCTCCCTGGTTGGCTGGGGATCAAACTAGTGCTGCAGTGTCTGGCGATAGCTTGATAGCTCGTGCTGTCTTTCACCCCTGCTCCACCAGGGAGGCCTTTGTTTAAATTTTGCTGTGTACTATTCACTATGTACACAGCCATCCCTTCAACCAATTGCATGGTGTCCTGTGTGTCAGTGTCTGCTGAGGACCTCCTACTGCAGCAACATTTCCACTTTGACTCACCTCATTCAGAGGGAGCCACTGGCAGAACAAACTGCTTCCTTAGCCCCAGGCTCCTTATATCTTACCAAGGTTTGGGGCCAAGAGTGTGGATGACCTTGGGAAGTCCATCAAAACTAATATAAGAATTATCAAATCACAATCTCATGAGCCAAGGTAATGTTTCCATCCAGGGGAAAATAAACAAGAAAGCAAAAACTGAGAGTTGATTCTTCTCACTGAATCAGATCCATGAAATCCAGTTTTCAGTATAATTTCTTATTCATTTGTTAGTTTGCAATACTTTCCCCTGTCCTTAGCAATACTTAAACTGATTGTATCCAAAAATAAATTGAGTTAGATATGGCTTAACTATTTAAATGTTTATAATTAAGCTAGTCTTTAGTTACAGTGGTGATTTTGCTTGCAGACGCTGTTAACATGCCTATGATTCTTGCTTACAGTCACTCCACCACAGAGAAAATTGTGTATCAAATGCAAAGAGAGTAAACAGGAAGTTAAATTTAGATGTTTTTTAAGATGACCTCTATTGACTATCAAGACTTTTCAAACCAAAGTCTAGTCATTTAGCCCTGGACTTTGCAAAAATGAAAAATAAGCTTCTTTGAACTTCTCAGTGGGAAATGATGAAAATATAAGTAATCTGTGGTCATGAACAATTAGCACTTGGAAGTGTGTATTTTAAGTATAAAAAAATTTAAAAATCACCCTTAATCCCATCATTCAAATATCACAAGTCAACATTTCATTCTAATTTTTCTCTATTTTTTTTAAGACAGTAACTAGGCCCTTTGAAAGCTCAAGATTTATTTGTACCATTTATTCAAGACGTTTGTCCCCTACTCTCCAGGAAAATAATTTTCTATCATGTTCCTGTTCTTTGTGACACATTCATGCCCTTCAAAGTCAACTGAAATTATTGACTGAAAAGTCAAATTACTTTAGCCTCTCTGCTGTTTGAAAGATAAATTTTTTTAAATAAAATTAGAGATCAACAAAGCTCCCTATCATTAGCCTGCCCTTCCTTTTTCCAAAGGTGATTTAGGTATTCTCAGTTGATAGTTCTTACCAGATGGTACACCTCAAGGTATGTGCAGTGAAAGGGTCAAGTTGAAGACATATCAGCTCTCCATCTGTTTATGGCCTTCCTGGTGTTAGAGATTTGTTTAATGATCAATAGTGGTTTCTATTCCTACCACTGAATCTTTCAGAAGGTAGCATAACCAAGTCAATGTTTAACTGAATTCTTTTGGTCTGAACTGAAAGTAGGAGGTAACGGAAAGTCTCCATGGAAACCAGCCTCCCAGGAAGTGACCACTGGGGTTAGTATGTGTGAAACAGAGCTAGAAAGATGAAATGAAGGAAGTGACTGCTTTCAAAGTGGGGTATACGTAAGAAATACCTTGATTAAAACAAGCTACAGGAAAGGCCCTAAAATCACTTCCCTGATGGTTTTCCCTTTGAAAGTGTTCAATGAGAAATGGGCCTGAATCATTCTAAGGCTCACCCTAGGGTGACCAAAGTAGCACCTTTCCAAAATAAAGAGGGAGAGACTGCCATGGCTGACCCTGTGGACTTTGCATTTAATCAGAATCTGGAAGAAAAGAGTTCGTTTTCGCTTGCAAGACTGCAGGACCGGAATAAAGCTTTGGAAGGGCAGCTGCCGCCACTACGAGATACCTGGTATGGAAGACACTCTGCAGGTAACCACGAGGCCCAGCATGAGATTTGTGTATTTGAGCTGAGGAGAGCTATTGATAGATTTACTTGCCTGTCTCCCTCATCTCCAAAAATATATTAAAAATAAATAATAAATAAATAAATAAAATGGCTATGAATGGGAAAAAAAGGAAAGTTTCTAAATCATTGAAAGGTGAGGGAACGTTTTTTTCAGTGGGAGACTGAATGTCTGTCCATTGTAAGTATTCTGGGTACATTGAAAAGGATGTGTAAACTGTGGGAAAGGGCTTTTCACCATTTCACTTAGAAGGGAAAATTTTCTTTGTGTCAGCTTAGCTTAGAGTGCTTTCAATGTATCTAGCAATGTGTGTACCTGGCCAAATGATGAATCTAGATTAAAATGTGATAATTTATGATAATGCCATGTTTCAGTTCAAAATTTAAATCATTCTCTCCAATACTGTTTCATGCATCAGGGTTTGTTTTGAAAGCAGCACATTAGGAGTGGGCCAATTCTAATGTGAATTTGAAAACCACCCCAAACAGAACTGATATAATACAGATGAGCTGAATGAGTCCCATATTCTTCACAGTCATCTGCAGAAATAAGAGACTTTCCCCATTATGATGGGAAGCTTTAAGTCTGAAGTGACTGTAAATTATCCTAGGATACTTCATAAAATACATAAAATGTTATATGACAGGAATGATGAAAATTAAATGGACATTCTAACTTGGAAAAAGAACATCCCTATATAATGTATATATAGAGATGTATATTTCACATCAAGAATCAGTGCAAAAGTAACTTCCTATTAATGGTCAACTTGACCAGAAAGTATTATGTTTTCTTTAACTATTTAGTAGCTCTTACTTAGAATGATTTTCATGGCTACTTGCCTTAGAACTGACCAACCTTTGATTCTACACAGGCAATTTTATGTTTTCCAACTTCCTGAGCATGTAAATGGGAATTTTCCTCTGAGTTTCACTCAGATTTCCATTTTTACCCAAGCCCTCTATCCAGAGTTTGAAGATTTTAGTAACTGAGTGGTGAAAGCAGAAAAGGTGAAAGCAGATACCCAGGCAGAAAATGTTCTTTTTTTTGAAATGACAAAATCACATTAAAAATAAATAGCAAAGGGATGATAAGCATTCTGACCACTATTTTCAAGGGACCCACATTCTGACTCCAGTTATACTAAATACCAAATTATATGACTTTGCACAAATTATTTCATTGATTTTCTTCACCTATAAATTAAGGATAAAAATACTCTCCTGACACAATGTTTGCCAATTTGGGAGAATCAAATAATTGGGTCATAGCACTCAAATCATAGTATAAAAATAAGTAGTCAGGCTGCTAAAAGAAATTTGCCAAAAATATTTACATTTTTAAATCCAACTTTTTGTTGTCATTGCTCATGCCTCTATCTTTCTCAATGAGTTGGCATCTCTTGAAAGAAAATTAGCAAAGTCCTTGAGGTGGCCATTCAATTGTCTTACAGATAGAAACAAAAAACATATAATTATCCAGGGTGTTTTCCATTTAGAATGCAAGAGGACTATACTACAGTCTACACACAGTCTAGAAATCAGAATGCTTCCAGATTGTTAAGAAGAAAGGACAAGAACTTCTCTTATGAAGCACTGGTCATGGCAGTAGCCCCAAGGATCCAGGATATTCAAGCTAAAAAATGAAATCCATAATGAATGGGTCTGTTGCGATTGTCTGCTTCCTAACAAGATTTAACTCTGTACTTCTGGCTTATTTCATCAGAAAAGATTATGAAGTTGTATTCTAGTGGCAACTGATGGGAATTTCTTTCCCAAGTTGGGGGGTTATGACTGGGAACATGCTTGCAGTGCATAGAACACTATTACACACTCATGTTCCATTTCTTTATCATCTTCCTCTCTCCACCTAATACCTATCCATCTATCTGTATTTTTCTTTTTAAAGATTTTTTTAAAGATTTATCTATTTATGCATATAAGAGCTGGGGTACAGGCCGGAGATGCGAGGGGTGAGAGGATTCACCAGAGACAGAGCAGGCAACAGAACAGGCAGATTGACAGATATACACTGCTGAGGGGAGCAGCGTGCGAGACAGGAGAGGTCTGCTGTGCCATGTGGGTAGCTCCCTGGCCAGGGATTCAACTCATGTTGCAGAGGCTGTGGATTGCTTCATAATGCAGTGCTTAACCCCTTGCACCACCAGGGAGGCCTCATCTATCTGTATTGTTCAGTTGAAAAAATTTATCTTCACTTTTTAAAACTACAAATTATCATTCATATTCATGTAGGGCCCTGTTTTATGTGTTTCATCTCCACATTCAACCTATAAGTCAGACACATGTAACTGAAAAGTCACAAAATTGTGTTAACAAAGCCTAATAAATAACAGTCAAGCTAATTTTGTTTTTAATGGTTTGTTCTTGTTTCTCCCTCTATTTTTCAAGTGCCCAGGGCCATCTATTTTGACATTCCACTGGAACAGGGAGAAACAAGTATTATTAAAAGGCATCCACCCCGAAGACTTCAAGTAAGATGAATTTAAAAGGCTTCCTAGGAATTTCTTGGACCTAATGGTAACATCCCTTTTTAACTATAATCACAAAAGAGGAATATTGGCAATGACCAGTTAATGAGAATGTTGTTAGAAAGAGTGTTGTCAATTACAAAGACCACATTTCCTTAGGATTTCCTTTTGTAATGATTTTACTTTTATGACCACCTCCAGAAGCAGGTAGTATTAAAGTCACAGACTGATGGGTCTCAAGAGACCTGATTCTTGCATGGATTAGTTGGGCAACTGTGGGGTCATCACTTGTAATAAACAATGACAACTACTCTCTAACTGCCACCTACTGGGTAACTGGATCTATGTCATTCATTTCATCCTCATGCCCCTCTGTGAGAAAGGCCATGTTATTTTTGTTTTATACATGGGAGTCAGAGAATTCTAAGCAATTTGCCCAAGGACAACAAAGGCCAATATTAACCTTCAGCATAGATGATCTCTACAGCCCTTCTATACCTAACTTTTACTGTTCTAAAAGTTAACTGGTTATTGAAATTGAGGACATTGGATGCCAAAGCAGAGAGCTTTAAATACATTCACATTAATAAATGTTTCATGAATTCCTTCTAGAGAACTATAAATTGTAAGAACTCTCATCCTAGGAAGGAAAAGAGGTCTGCATGGGTCCTTGAAAAAAATGAGCATCAGCTAAAAGTATGGTTTTTAGTTCTCTTGTGAGTAGGATCTATCACTGACATTTGAAAAAGCGAATTGGAGCCAAATCCCACCTGCTACACACTTCACCCCGTGGTGTGGACCAATCCCAGGGTATCTGAGCTCATTTGTTGGGGATTATTTCTGTTTCAGTGGGTTTTTATTTACCTGTCTTCTCTAGAAGCTCACAATCATTACTTGAAGTGATTAAATCCTGTGGTCACAAAAAGAGTATCTTTCCCCAAAATATCAGAAACCTCAAAATATGGTTTAAAGAAAAATATAATTCTATTAAATTGAAATGAATTTTTCAGTTTTTCAGCTTATCTTTAGCTAAACTGGATGGTTTTAAAAATGTATGTTTTATTCCTAAATCAACTATATTCTTTCAAAGGAGTATGTTTAGCATATGTTCCTGTGGAGACTCAGCTGAGTAACTTCAGTAGATGGTATTACTATAACCAATGAAAAATATTTGTGTAAAAATCTATAGTTCACAAAGTGCTTTTTATATCTATCAAGGCTGAATAAGCTAAAGTTAGGATCTGATTCTCTAAAATCAATCAAGCTCAAACGGAGTTTTGGTATTTCAGAATCAAAGACTGCAGCAGCACGTCCTAACTGACCACTTTAAAAATGAAGAATCAAGGAAAAATAAATTATTGGAGAGCAAAGAATATTTTCTATTCAGTCTTATATCTTCAGTCACTAACCCCTAATGTGTCCCTCACAAAGATTTGTGAATGAATAAGTGGTGAATGAATGGATGCATGAATGACAATGAGATCCATTACCACTGGTGAGGGGAGAATCACAGTGCACTTCCTACTATTGACCTGTAGCCACATTATATTGGCACTTTAGTTGACTAGTCAAAGTAACCAACATGATTCATTGTATATTGGAAGGTTTTATTGAATCTAAGAGTGGGTAAAGCTTGACCTTGGCAAGAGCTTAGAACCTCAAGCACAGAAGAATTCTTGTGTCTCCCCTAAGCTCTTCTCCAGGCATTTGCTTTATTCTCCCTGAAGATTTATTTTCCCTGCTCCTCAAGACCACAAGGTAAAATTTGGCCACCCTGAATTTGCCTCTTATTATTACAGTCGAATGGGTGGCCTGGCCTGGCCCTCTTGGCTGTAATCCCAAATTCCTGGAGGAAAGATCTTATTGGCCCTCTTGCTTATGGTTCCAGTTTTGGTCCGATGAGCTATGACCTGGACATGCTCCTGCAGTGGCAATGCGGGCACAGAAGCACCACCGCTACCCCCACTCTAGATTCCGGAGGCAGCTCCCAGAGAAGAGGAAAATTGCTGGGAACTTGGCAGACACTCTCGAAGATATCAACTATAATTATCTTCACAAATGAGGCTCAGCGCATTTTCTACCACAAATGGGTTTTTGAGAGAATAATAAATGCTGGGTTCCATGACATGCTAATTAATAGCCTAATCTCTGCCAAAAAAAAATTCTAAAAGTATTTTTAATTATTAAACCAAATCTAATTGCATCCTAAATAATTTGAGCAGCATATTTGGCGCGCTCCACTTCCTGAATATCTACTCCTCAAGGAAAGGGCAGGTCAGAAAGTATGGTTCTCTAACTTGGAACTGCTAAGATCTTAGGTTCCCTCTACCAGGGAACTCTTAATGAAATGAGCCTGTCCCGTGTTGGGAAATAAATTCTTATTGTCCCTTCTGGCCTTCTCATCCAAATTGTCTCAGGGCCAGCTTAAGATGGAGTAGTACTTCCCCCAGCCCTTAAATGGTGAGTTCTCAAATGATTTCCTCGGATGACTCCATCATCTCCAAAGATTTACTTAAATCCCGGGCCTCTCCAGTGGCGCAGCGGTTGAGCGCTGGGTTGAGAAGCTGCTGCCCACAGCCTCTGCAGCACTGGTTCGATCCCCGGCTGCTCCCCAGCCACCACCGGAGGAGGGTCTCACACGGCGCGCAGACCTCTCCTGCCGCCCGCTGCTCCCCTCAGCAGTGTACTTCGGTCCTTCTGCCTGCTCTGTTCCCCGCTCTGGCTCTGGTGAATTCTCTCACCCTCCCGCGCTTCTGACTGTACCCAGTGCTTGTATAAATAAATAAATCTTTAAAAAAAAAAAAGAGATTTACTTAAATCTCACCTTTCCTACAGAACCCTATATGTACAACCTGTTGGCAATTGCAACCCTCACCCTGGCATTCTTGATTTTCCTGATGTTTCACTATTTTTCTTTTCCCCAGAGCACTGATTTCCTACCCACCCCACCCCTGTACTAAAAATATAATCTTCAAATAGTAAGTGATTCCTATCTTTTGTCTTCACTAATATATCTAAGTGTATAGAACAGCACCTGGCACACAAATTGGTGATCAACAGGTATATGTTAAATAAATGTTGAATGAATAAGTACAGAAGGAAAAAGATGAGCACCAAGACTGCTGGGGAGACATAAGAGGGTGTTCTGACCTCCATGGCTGTTTTGGTTATTAACTAGTCAAAAATGTATTCCCTTTCTTGTCTTTTCTACTCCGTTTTCTAGTATCTCCAGTTATCTTTTTCTGTATGGATTTGTGAGAGTTCTCTACATAGCTTAGATACAGTTTTGGTTAGATATGTCGCAAATATCTTCTCTACACGATGGTTTGCCTTTTCATTTTGCTGATGTGTATGTGTGTGTATGTGTACAGAGATTTCTATTTTTGTTAATGTCAAATTTCTCAATCTTAATCTTTATATATTACTTGTATTTTGCCTAAGAAATGTTTGTCTTCCCAAGGTCATAAAGATATTCTTTATTTCTTCCTAAAATTTATAATATTTAAGTTTCCACATATAAGTCTTAATCAGAAATTCATTTGTGTGCAGATGTGAAGTTGGAATATACTTTTACTTTCTTTCCATTTGATTAATCAATTGTCCCAGGGCTCTGTGGAACCATTCAGTCTTTCACCATGAATTTGAAATGTTCCTCTGTCATGTAGCCAATTTCCAGAGTTTCATGAGTTTGTTGCTGGACTCTTTTCTGCTGCATTGGTCTATTTGTGTATCTCCACAGGAATTTCACTGTCTTACATACTTTAGTATTTAAGTCTCAATGTGAAAATCCCCTCACCTCCATCTTCTTTTGCAGAGTTGTCTTTGCTGTTTATGATCTTTTCTTTGTCTAAGAAGCTTGGATCATCTTGTTAAGGTCCATGAAAAACCTTTCTAGCCCTCTGACTGCAGAGCATTCACAGAATAATTTGGAACATTGATAGATTCACAGTTGACTCTCCTAAACCATGAACATGGCATAAATCTTCATTTGCCCAGATATTCTTTTAGCTATTTCAATAATGTTTCATAACTTTTCCATTGGTTTGTTTCCAGGTATATACCTGTATCAATCAGGGTTCAACCAGAAAAACAGAACAGGTAGAAGGAGATAGATATAGAGAGTTATTGCAAAGACTTGACCTACATAATTATGAAGGTTGGCAAGGCAAGTCCATAGGGCAGGCCATCAGGAAAGGTAGACTGGAACTGTAGGATATGAACTGAAGCTACCATCCACAAGTGGAATTTCCTTTTCTTCAGGGAAGTTCAACTCTGCTCTCTAGTCTTTTCAATTGATTGAATCAGGGCTGAAGAGAGTATCTAAAATAATCTTCCTGACTTAAAGCCAACTGATTTTACAAAATAATTTCACAGCAACATCTTGATTAGTGTTTGGATAATTGGAGACTGTAGCCTACCCAACTTGACACATAAAACTGATTATCAAAATATCTTACGGGTTTTTTTTTTTTTTCATCCTTTTATGAATGAGATTTTTTTGCCATTTAATTTTCTAAGTGATTATTATTGGGAAATTAAATAGCTATTGATTTTTGCATGTTGAATTTTGTGTTCCATAGCAGTGTTGAAATGCTTTGGTAATTCTAACTATCTATTAATTTTAGTCTTTCACCACAGACAAAATCTTTTATAAAGAAAAATGCTTTTTTCTCTACTCAATTTTGTTGCTTTGTTTATTTTCTTGACTCTTGCATTGGCTAGAATTTCCTTTGAAATATTGAATACAAGCAATGATATTGGGCACCCTTAATTTAAAGAGGGAGATACTTCTAGAATCTGAAAGAAAAGAGTCAGGTAGAGGAAGCTGCTTTGAGAGCATTAGTGGGATACAACAAACCCAGTGTGACCTTGCAGGGAGGAGGCAACTTGTTGACCTGATTCTCTTTCCTCTCTCAGATTCCTGCCAGGAATTCTTAGTGGCTGACCCAATGCGAAGCCAGAAGTAGGAGAAACTGTTTAGTCCTTAGAGGCAGAGAACAGGGTAGAGAAATGTGATAAGTGGCTCTGAGAAATAAGCTGATGATTGGGCCTCCCCGGTGGCGCAGCGGTTGAGCGCTGGGTTGCGAAGCTGCCCGCGGCCTCTGCGGCGCCGGTTCGATCCCCGGCTGCTCCCCGGCCACCAATAGAGGGTCCCACATGGCGCGCAGACCTCTCCTGCCGCCCGCTGCTCCCCTCAGCAGTGTACTTCGGTCCTTCTGCCTGCTCTGCTCCCCGCTCTGGCTCTGGTGAATTCTCTCCCTCCCGCGCTTCTGACTGTACCCAGTGCATGTATAAACAAAACAAACAAATAAATGAATAAAAAAAAAAAAAAAAGAAATAAGCTGAAGATAGCTGTCACAACACCATGTGTTAAATTATGGACAGTCCCTTTATTTCCAAGTGTGCTGAGAGTTTTTCTAAGGGCAAGTGTCAAATTTTATTGATTATGGATTTTCTTTTTAATCAGTTAATACAATGCATTACACTAATAGACTTTATGATGTCAAACCATGTTTCCCTGCCTGGCATAAATCCTACTTGGTCATGAGGTACATACTTAAGCACTTTGGTGAATATGCTTAGGCTTTTGTATCTACTTTTCATAAGTGAAGTTGTTCTGTAGTATTTCTCTACCATCTTTTTCTAGTTTTGCTCTCAAGGGTGTTCTAATTTTTATGAAATGACTTATTTATCTTTCTCTCTTTCTATTCAACACTGTAACAGAGTAATTACCTATTTCTTAAAAGTTTCATAAAACAGGCCTATGAAACTATCTTTGTGGAAGTGATACATTTTCCTGCTAATTTGATTTATTTGTTGTCTCTTAGTTGATTTAGATATCTTATTTTTCCTGATTAAATTTGGTTCATTTTATTTATTATTTTTCAGAAAATTGTCCATTTAACCTTCAGAATTTATTGTTAGAAAGTCTTAGCTTCTTCATATTCAATATTTTTGTAATGACTCTAAAACCAATTTCCTAGCTTAGATTTTGATGCAGCTCTTTTATACAGGTAGAAAGAAGGAGAACAACCCATCCTCTTATTTCAAGCTGTGGACCTGGCTCTAGTTTCCCATTTATATGGAATATTTTTAGGTATTCTTCAACCTATAGAGACCACCAGACTATTAGCAGTGCTAAGTGCCTTCTGGATTAGCTTCCTCCAAGTCTGCTTGCATATTCTGTTTTCTGGCTCATGGAGTTGTTTATCTTTATTAAAGTGTGACATTGTCTTGCATTTTAGCTTTCATTGTTAGAGGTTTGGAACAAAAAATATTATTGAAATATGATCCCTTTGCAATACCTTGACCAGAAATTCCTTGACGGCTTATGAGTTCTTTGTCCAAGGCTGTCAACATTTCTACTTCCCTCCCAGAACTTTAAAGGACATACTCTTAAGTCATAGTGCCATCAAATTTTACAATTTCTCTAAGTTGCTCCTGCCCACCATTGTCTGCCTGCTAGGAGGCAAACACTACTACCTCAGGTTGGTGTGGATCACCAAGCTCCTGAGTTAAACTGGATAATCTCTTTTCCTCAATCTCCTGACACTTCCTCTGATTATCCTGCCATTTGTTTCATTTGAAATGTCAAATAACTCAAAATGCTTTACACAAATAATATATTTTTTATAACATGAAATGAAAAAAGGTGTCATTCTACCAATTTTCCAGTAATCCTTTCCATTTTGTCTCTGAGATAATGAACTGAGGCATCTTGCTTCCCACATGGGGAAAAGGAACATTGATGTGAACCCAGAAATCTGAGGCAATTTCATTTAATGGGTTTTTTTTTTAAAGAATCCTATTTTCTAACAGTTTTTATTTTTTCTGCAGTGCTTCTCAGGCTAAGTGCAAATGATTTAGCTGAGGGATCTTTTTGTAGTGCTAGTTGCTGCCATCTAGTGCTTTTTTCATTTTTTTCCTTTTGGAGGAATAGTGATTCCCAGCTCCTAACAAAGGCCAGAAGGAAAACAGTTCTCTAGAGAGAGAACTTCAATATTTGTGGATTCCATCAGTGTCCCTCCATGAGCCCCAGTCTGTTATCTCTGTGCTCCTAACTGCTCTCTCCACATTCAAAATTGCTTTTCTGTAGTCTAATTTCCACACTGCAGCTGGAATTAGCTTTCTTTCTTTTTTATTTTTAATGTATATTTATTTCAGTTGGGGACATAGTCACATGGTTTAAAATGTAAAAGACAAAAATGGGGATTCAGTGCCAGCTCCTCCTACTTGTTCCTCTCCAGGTGTCCCTGACCCAGTCCCTGTTTTTATTTTGTAAACTCTCTGTGAAGGGCAAAATAAAGTAAGAAGAATAGAGATGATCTGACTGAAAGATATTTATTCTAAGGTAATAAAAGGTGAGGTGGTTCTTGTTTTTATAGCCTCCATGTTTTCTGAGATTTCAAATATCTTTCTTTTTAATCAAATGTCATTGTGTTACTGATTTGCTGGACATGTCAATGGCTGCCTATTACTGTTGGGAAGACCAGTGCCTTTAGAAAGTTCCTGCGTGAGCTGACCTCTACCTTCCCACCTCATTTTGAGTTTTCTTCATCTCTGAAATTCAACTAACTGACTTTTTGCAGTACCTGTAACATACCTTATTCTCTCCCACCTCAGGACTATTGTTTATGGTGTTCCCCCTACCTGGAACACCTTAGTCCCTAAAATTGCTCAACTTTTCAAGTTCTGCTGAAAAAAATTACTTTTTCAGAAAACTTTTATGAACTGTCCCCTTACCCCTTCCCTGTTATGTTTTCCAGCACATTAAACTAGGTGACTTAAGAGAAATGTATTGTCTCACAGTTCTGGAAGCAAAAAGCCCATGGTCAAGGTGCTGACAGAGTTGGTTTCTATTGATGCCTCTTTCTTGGGTTCTGGAGATTTGCTGGTAATTTCTGAAGTTCCTTGACTTGTTACAAGCATTACCCTAATCTCAGCTTTCATCTTCACACATTGTTCTCCCTATGTGCATGACTGTGTCCAAATTTCCCCTTTTTATGGGGACATCAGACATACTGGATTAAGGGTCCTTCTGTAAGCACTCTTATTTCCAAGTAAGGTCACAGACTGAGGTACAGAGGTTAAAAGTTCACCGTATGTGGATGGTTCACGGGATGGTAATAGGAGACATGGGGACTACACCTGAGGGGAGAAATCAAATATTGTACAAAAATGAACAACAATGTAAGAAAATAAAATGAGTTCACCATATGAATTAGGTGGAGACAAAATACAATAACATCTCCCATAGCCAAGGGGAGTCCTCCAATTATATACTGTCTTCCCTGCAGACTTTCTTCAAAACAGTGATCACAGTTTGTGTGATGATTAATAAAACAATCACACAAGCAGAAGTCTAGCTATGCCCCCACAGACTGTAAGTTCCTTAGGGACCAAGCCATTTTTGTTGATCATTGCACCTCTATGCCTGGCACAGAGCAGCCATTCAGTAAACACTCACTGACTGAACAAATGAAGACACTGTGACCTCCTAGCAGTCTCTCACCTTCTGTCAGAGTGAAAAGACCAGACATGGTCTACCAGACCTGGTCAGTAACTTCCCAGAGCTCCAGCTTTCAGAGCACTAAGTCATCTGAGGCAAGTACGACTGGAAGCAGATCTACTGGTTCATCAACTGCTGCCCAGGCTTATTGACCCTTGAAGCTCCAACATGATCTTTCCACAAAGACAGGTCCTTGCTAGAAAAAGTCATGTCCAAGATTTGTTTGTACATTGTACTTTCATTTTAAATGTGCCTCATAAGCACCAGTGATTATTACTGAGGAGGCTGAAGAAGTTTCTCTGGAGATCTTAAAAATAGGTCACTTCCCTAAGGACCAGAGTGGTGCAGCTGGGTGTTTAAGGGATGAATAAAATGAAGTACCTTCTCATTGCCTCTTTCATCTCTAATATTCTAAGACCCTCACAATTTGATAACTTTGGACATGGTCCCTCGATGCAGACCATCTTTTAACCAGTATTTAGGTCAATAAGCCACTGTCAACAGTTGCACTAGCTCAATAATGAACCTCAAGTAGGTTGAAAAACCTTTTGCACAGAAATGATTATAAAACTGTTGAAATCACCTTTCCTGTGTGTTCTCAGGAATAAGTGCTGCTTTTGCAAAGTGTTAAGATAGTTTATTGTCTGGCTTTTGGGTTTCATCATCTCATGACATGAAGAATGCTGAATGTTCTTAATGTTGGACTTCCAGAAGCTTGAACCCCTTGACCTGCCACCAGTAATTACTTCTGAAAGACACCTGAGCCAGCAAGAAGCTGAGAGAACTCACAAAGCAAAGGTGAACTGCACTAATCATGACTGTGTGGGTGGGGGAGTGGGGGGTGGGGGTGTGCTGGCCACACAGGGTTGGGGCAAGTGGTCCTTCCCATGCACTCTCTGCACTGACTTCAAAGACAAACCAAACTATGCAGTCATTCAGGACCGCACTTTCCAAAGCTACCCATTCTCGACTGGGTCTGCCTCCAGCTGGCCATTACTCCTGCCTGTGGACCCTTCTTTGCTTCCTGGTGAAAACAGGAAACTGTAGATAAGAGAGAGGAATTTTACTTGCACATTGGTGATTCTAGAAGTTTTCAAATTTGTGAAAATCCTGCGAAACTCTCGCTTTTCATTCTTCCCCACAGTTTAAAACTCTTTCCATTCACACTTCTCAAGGGAAGTCATATCTACTAGCTGTGCATAACTTACCATAACCACACCAAAAAGTAATCCTGGGGAGGGACTGCTATAGAGATTTTTCCTTTTACATACTTGTCACACCGCTGAGAAAACACTCCCCATGTAGACTTGAAACCTAAAGTAGGAATAGATTTTCAACTGGGTGACTGGCTGAGGTGGTGAAAGATGGCCAGATACATTCAAATCCTCAAAGCCACCCTGTTCATGATGCTGGCAGATGGACCCCTTCCTGCCGCTCCCATCAGTGAATACAGTCACCATCGGCAGGATAACGGAAATCACCCCACTCTCTCGGCTGCTGCATCCCTTCCTCCTCCTGGTCTCAGCAAGTGACAAGGGAGGGTATATTTGCCCCTGGATGCCTGTGTGATTCCACTGGTATCTATGATGACCCAGGGGGAGATCACCAAAATGCCAAATAATTGACTTTACATCCATCCTATAGCAGGGCTTATATTGGTATGAGGAAGTATGCACTATAAAAATAGGCTCCACTGAACTATTCAGTGACTCCCCTCAAATTCCACAGCCCTGCAGTTTGTTACTGGCAATCCAGAATACATTTTGGAGAAATAGTAATAAGAGGAAGCTCTGTGTGGTCAAAGTGAGATGTGGAAAGAGATTTCCATTCAAGGTCTGAGGAAGCCACAGGAGCCTGAAGAAGCACACTTGGCAGTCACAGCAAAGCGCTGCTCGCTCCAGGCACTAACAGCTGCGAGGCACTGACCGAGAACACCTGTGCCCGCCTTGATCCTGCAGAGACCTTGGTGGATGATGATTGAGGATTGATTAAGATCTCACTCTGTCCAAAAGGATTTCAAGTGTGAACTGCTGAGTCAATAACAAATTATCCCACACTGACGAGTTTGTCATCTTTCACAGCAGGGCCTGGAAAAGAAGGTGCAAACTCCAATGTATACTTCTGGGAAAAGACAATATTTACATAAGATGCAAATGCTGGAAATGAACCGTAAAAGACAAGAGGTAAATAGGAGGGAAGAATATTTACCAAATTTACTCCACAGTCACTGTTTTGGCACATAAATATAGTGAAGTGTTCATCTCCAGTCTTTTTAGCATTTTTAAATGGTTCTTGGAACTGGGGAAGCATCGGCACGATCCCTCCAGCTTCCAGTCCTGTTGAGTCTTGTCTCTTCTCAGTCCTCTCAAGGGTGTTTCTGTGTTTCAAGTCTCTTTTTTTCTTTTTTTAAACAGTTTTCTCCTAAGACATTCTGCTTCCAGCAGAAAAGTAGTGTTAGATCATTTTTCTTGGTCTAGGGAAAGAGTGAGGGATGAGTTCATCTTTACTATTATATCTATGCATTTCTTTACCATTACTGTCATAGAATTATCTTACAAGAAAGATCCCTTGTGCAGCCACTTTACAGTAATGTCTCCTGTAACTGTCCTAACCCAAATTCCTCACTCTAGTAAATAAGCCTAAAGTCACTGTCCGCTGAAATTCCAAATGTCAGCTAGCCTAGGGAGAACTACCAAGAAATATTTTTTTCCTTTTCAAAGATTTATTTTATGCATACAAGAGCTGGAGTGTAGGCCATTGGGGGTTTGAGGTATGTGTGAGAGGATTCACCAAAGAGAGTGGGGAGCAGAACAGGCCGATTGACTGAAATACACTGCTGAGGGGAGCGGCGGGTGAGGCAGGAGAGGTCTGCTGGGCATGAGGGTCACCTCCCTGGCCAGGGATTAAACTTGTGCTGTAGTGGCTGCTGATAGCGTCATAGTGCTAAGACTTAACCCCTTGCGCCACCAGGGAGGCCCTACAAAGAAATGTTTTTACAAAGCTCCTCATCTTAATGTTGCCATATCTTTTTGAGACAGGGGCCAATTCTCCTTTCTCCCAACAAGTCTGTGCATAAAGAAAGTTTACACACCATCTAATATGAACAAGAAACCCATGTTCTGATGTCCACCGATAAGTACACAACTTGCAAAGTGGCTGATCAGGTGACTGATTCTGGTGAAAATCACTCGGGGAAAACATTAACCATTTATAACTGATTTTTTCAGGCCCAAGTGGAGTCAAAGAAAAGTCTTCATAAGGAGTCTAGGACTAATAAACAAAAACCCAGGGAAAATAAAGCCAAGAAAACCCTTCAAAACATCCCAAGAAATGATGACGGTGACTTCATAACATTGTTGCCTGATGAAAGCTTGATTACAAGCCCAGGTGAGTCATGTAATTTTTTTTTAAAGATTTATTTATTTATTTATACAAGCACTGGGTTCAGTCAGAAGCGCGGGAAGGTGAGAGAATTCACCAGCGTCAGAGCAGGCAGACTGAGGAAGTACACTGCTGAGAGGAGCAGCGGGCGGCAGGAGAGGTCTGCGCGCCATGTGGGACCCTCACCCTGTGGCCAGGGATCGAACCGTAGCTGCAGAGGCTGCGGGCAGCTTTGCAACCCAGCGCTCAACCACTGTGCCACCGGGGAGGCCCTAGTCATGTAATTTTTAAGCAAAATGAATATTTCAAGTATTTTTAAAAATATCATCAAATAAACTTCAGGAAGAATAGCAAATAACTTAGGGTTCCTGTTGATAATTTACCTGTTGGAATATAATAAGCACATTGTCATTTTGGATTGCTGGGAGAAAAAGACAGAAGCTTACACATTCTGATAAGATGTCTTTCTTTTTAGACACTTACTACATCCATTATTGCAATCCTTGCTTCATCCCTAGGTAGGCAAAAGTTAAGAGTCTCATCTCATGGTTAAAGAGAATGAGGTACATGGAGACATATTAAACAGCAAATTGGGGCCTCCCTGGTGGCGCAGTGGTTGAGCGCTGGGTTGAGAAGCTGCCCGCAGCCTCTGCAGCTCCGGTTTGATCCCTGGCCACTGGGTGAGGGTCCCACATGGCCCTCAGACCTCTCCTGCCGCCCGCTGCTCCCCTCAGCAGTGTCCTTCGGTCCTTCTGCCTGCTCTGCTCCCCGCTCTGACTCTGGTGAATTCTCTCATCCTCCTGCGCTTCTGACTGTACCCAGTGCTTGTATAAACAAACAAACAAATAAATAAATAAAAATAAATCTTTAAAAAAATTAAAAAAAAATAAACAGCAAATTGGTATGAACCAGTTTGGTTCCAGCCTTCATCAGCACACCCAGCATGTCTATAGCTGAACCCAGCATCATTGTCTGCCCCAAGCTTGCTCCTGCTGCATCCACTGTCTCAGTGGGTGAGCCTCTAGCCTGTGTCACTCAGCCAGTAGCCCTGGGGCCATTCCAGCCCTCCTGCTCCTTCTTGTAGTTGGTCATTACAATGTCCTCAACATGTCATCTGGCGCTGAAATCTCCCCTCTCTTTCCCATTCCCAGTGCCATGTCATGTCATGCCAAGGCTACTGCTATAGCCTCCTGACTGTAGTCCTCCCTTAGTTTTACCCTCATTCCATCAATTCTTTGCTTGGTTTCCTCAGCCTCCAGACCATCAGCACCAGTATCACCTAGGGACTCGTTAGACTCCCAGTCAGAGCAACTGAATCAGAAACTTTAGAGTGGCGGGGGCGGACAGGGGTGGGGGGCTACAGTCTGAGTTAACAACACCTCCAGGTGATTCTGATACTCAACTTGGTAATCAAAGTGTTGTCCGCAGACAGTGGCATCTGTATCACCTGGAAGTTTATTAGAAATGCAGCATTTCAGGCCTCAGTCCAAACCTACTGAGTCAGAAGTGGTATTTAGCAAGATTCCAAGGCAATTCTCTTGCATAATAAAGTTCTAGAAGCACTATACTAATAGCAAAGCAATCTTAAAAAATGCAAATCTGACCACATCACACCACTCCTTAAAGTAAATCTTTCAGTGAGTCTCCATGAGCCTGAGAATACTCTAATCTCCTCACCAAAGCCAAATTACTGCCTACTTTGCTGGCTTCATTCCTCACCCTCTCTTGCCCAGATCCTGCACTCCAGCCAGGCCCAGCTTCTCTGTGATTTCCAAAGGACATCCATGTCTATAACCACCCATGGTATGTTGTCCCACCAATTAGTGTTCTGTTAAGTTTTCCATGTTCACAGTCCCTCAGAGCAAACCCACAGTTGCAAATGTACAATCCACGCAACATGGGGTTGCCAAATCCCCATGTTAGCAGGATGGATTCCTAAGAGCTCTACAGAAATGCTGGCCATGTCTTTGGAGGACTTAGATTTCTAAGACGCAAAATTGCCAAATACAAGAGACACTGCCCCTGCTCAGAGGAGCAAGATGCTGAATTAATAAGTTAATTAAATAAGAGAAGACTGAGTAATTGAAAATCTAGTTGGGACATCTATTTAACCTATACTCCAAGTCCCAGAATGAAATATATTGTGTAGTCACATAGATAAACAATTTTTACAATTAAAAAAATATTGGCAAAACAACCAAGTAAAGTGCCTCACTGGCATTAGACACTTACAGTCTCTGCGTGAAGGAATGCCAAGAAAACCCAATATTAGTAAAGTTTTTGGAAGCCACCCAAATCTGGAGGGGTCAGTGGAGACTGTGATATGAGGAGAATTGGATTTTTTGATCCCTCTTTTGTTTCAATTATAGCTTATTGAGCACTTACTTTAAGAAAGCTAGGCATGATGGTCCACCCTTGCCATACATGATCACATTTAGTCCTCACACTAACTTTAAGTTAGAAGTCACTATTAGCTACAGTGTGACAGAACCAGGACCAAGGTCAGGTCTTCCTGACTCTAAAGTGTGCACACACACTTTATTATTTCATCAGGACTCTGGGGACTTAGCTTTGTCCAGGACAACCTTGGGAAAGTGTGCAAATATAGAAGTTGTGATAACTTTTGTTGACTGCAAACAAAAAGCAACAGTTATTTTACTAATGAAATAGTAAAATTTGGAAAGTGCAATCTCATGGCAAGACACACATACACTTTCCCAGAATAAAAGCCGCATCCCCTTATATGACTTTTAATGGAGTCTTGCTGTGCAAAAGAGCCTCTTTCTTCCTGGTGCTGGGATAGAAAAGTGCTACTTCCTGTCAGAGACACAAGTCATGTTGGGTGCTATAGTCTACTGACTACCCATGTGTGGGAATTCTTCTAGCCTCCTGACTTCATTTAGGTAGGGTGTCTGTATATTAATTTTCACACTTAAGGAGCAGACTGCCCTCCAGAGCCTGTAGAATTCACCACTACAGTCAGCATATGCTGGAGCAATGATTCCCTTCTACCTGTTCCCAGATGGCATCTTTGATTTCTTGCTCTGTCCTCTAAAAGTAGTTCACTTTGCTGTCTCCTAAACTTGGAGTGTAGCCAAGATCACAGTCAGGTTCTGGTAATTAAGTTTCTGCTGTACCCAACTCTTAAGTTATATTTGCCCATTCTTGTTCCTTCTTCTAGAAGGTGGGGTGAGAGATTTAAGACTCTTGTGAGACAGAAGTTCGCTTTGCTTTCTGCAGCCTCTTTAAAATACAATCACCCATTCCTTACAGCTATTTTACATATATTTGCATAATAAATTACTTATGACTTACATAATGACATATAACTTACACTAAGTGAACACCACTCTTTTGGGTGTGCAATTTGATGAATTTTAAAATGTTTACATAGTAGCTCTTGCTCTTTCCAGAAACCACAGTTAAATATAGAGGTTAGAAAAAGCACTGGACTTGGAATCAATCCTTCATTTGAACCCAAAAGAACGTTTTCTAAATGTCAGCTCCATGTGAGCAAGGAACTTTTGTTGTTCTTAGAAAAGTGTGATTTGTAGTAACTCTCAGTAAATATTCACTATTCATTTGTCTGTATAGTTTATTCTATAGAAAGATCATAGCTGAATTCCAGTTATAGAACCTCTGTGAAGCTCAGTTACCACAGCTGTAAAATAGGAGCAAAGCATTGTCTACCTGTAGGACTTATGGAAAAATTCATCTGTGTTAAAGCATATGTAAAATATAAAGTTTCAAAAAATAAATAAAATGTGAGTTCCATATGAATGCTTGGAAATTGGACAAAACTGAAGAAAGGTAGAACTGATGTCTTATAGTGAAAATATCTGCTTCACAGTAAGAGTCTCCTGAATGCATCATTTGAATGTCACCTTCACAGTTCTGGTCTTATCTGGCTACCTGTACTACTATTAACAGCATTTTTCTTTAAAGTATCTTGCTTTCTTTTAAATTTAGCCTTGTCTGCCAAGTAATGTAAAAGTATGGGTTGGATACATAGTGGTGTGTGTTTTTCTAAAACAAATATCATAAAATACATAACCATCAAACATTTTTATGCTTTCTTTAATGTTTGTATTACCTAATTTCACTCCCTATTTTACCCCCATTGGTCTCTGTTGCTTTCCTCTTTCCCCAAATTACTTTTGAAGTAGAATATATTTCCCTGTCCTCTGCTCACCCAAAACCCATTTAGGTTTTAAAGGTTGTGTTTTCTTTCTTTTTTTCCCCAAGTCTAGCAACCAGAGAGAACCAAACGGGGATTTATAAAAATGTAATAAGACCTGTAGCTCAGAAGTTCTCAAGCTTTAATGCTGTGTACACAGAACTTGTATATAATATTTTAAGAATGACTTAAGGGATTTCCAAGGATAAAACTGAACATGTGAATTTCACTTCACACACTAACTTTAGAACTGAATTATCCTAAAACCAAGACTGTTCTGGGACTTTAAGCTATTACCAATATTATATTACATCCTACCATTGACAAACATTCTCTTCCTGATTCAAAGCTCCTGTCAGCAAAAATTCTTGTTCTTAGTCTGATTGATGCCTCTAGTAGATCTTGGCTCATTTGCAGAGCAGAGATGATTGACACTCCGTTCTCAGTGAATGAAGCCTTTTCCAAGTCCAAATTACCAATACTTCCTGCCTCCCCAGATTTTTCTGATGTCTCACATAGTCATTCATTCATTTCTTTACTTACTCAACAGATGATTACTAGGCCAACTAGTTGTGGTTCCTAGCTTTGGAGTTTAGGTAATACTATAGACAATGAACAAAGTTCAATTTAGGGATAACTGGGAGACTTATTAATCTGGAAGCTTTCCTTGAGGAAGAGACGTTTAAGCTAAGACAGGAAGTAACTGGATGAAGGGAGCAGAAGTACATGTGAGTGGAAAGACCAGGGTGCTGAAACATTCAAAACTATACTTGATGACAGTGTGTGCAAAAGAGTAGGATGAAACCTAAGATATTCTGGATGGAGAAGAGAGATTCAATTAGAGTCTGGAGATGTCCACTAAGGACTTTGAACTCTAGCTTATGATCAGTGGGGAGCCATGAAAGAGCAGGGAAGAAACATTATCAGGTTTATATGTCTGTTTGTTTTTAATTTTGGTGGAGTAAGTAATTATAAAATGTAATACTTACATATGGGTATTATACAATGTACACAAATATATATGTAATTATATATCTTTTCTCCATTCTCCATTTATTTATTGAAGTATGATGAACAAATAGTAGTTTCAAGGGCACAATGTAATGATTCAATTTATGTTGTAAATGAATCACCACAACAAGTCATTGCCACATGTAGTTAGAATTTTTATGTGTTGAGGTCTTTTAAGATCTACTCTCTTAGCAACTTTCAAAAATGCAATAGAGCATTCATAACTATAGACTCTGCACTGTACATAACATCCCCAGGACTTACTTATTTTATGATGGGAAGTTAGTGCTTTTGATCCTTTTCACCTAATGTCACTCACTGCACCACACCTCTGGCAATCATCAATCTGTGGTTCCCTGTACCTGTAAACTTGGTTTTTTAGATTCCACATGTGCGTGAGATCATACAGCATGTGTCTTTCTCTGTCTTATTTCTTTTAGCATAAGAGGTTTAAATTTTTAAACATCACTCTATTTTTTTTTCAATTTTATTTTTATATTCCCCATACAATTGCAATCCCCTTATTTTGACGCCAATCCTTCCTTCCCCACCCCCCTCACCCCCCATAGTGTGTCTCTGGTTCATAGTTGTTTGTTGATTTTGATTTTTTCTTTCTTATAATTATTCTTTTTCCTGATCTCTTATTTAGGTTTTCTAGATTCCTGCTATGAGTGAGACCATCCGGTATTTTTCTTTTTCTTTCTGGCTTATTTCGCTGAGCATGATCCCTTCCAGCTCCATCCATGTTGCTGCAAATTGCATGTGTTTATCTCTTTTGAATGCTGAGTAATATTCCATGGTGTATATGTACCACATCTTCTTGATCCAGTCATCTATTTTTGGGCATTTGGATTGTTTCCAAAGCTTAGCTATTGTAAACAGTGCTGCTATAAACATAGGGGTGCAGGTGCTCTTTGGAATGGATGTTTCTGTGTCCTTTGGGTAAATACCTAGGAGTGGAATTGCTGGATCATATGGAACCTCTATCTTTATAGGTTGAGGAACCTCCACACAGCTTTCCATAGTGGTTGGACCAGTTTGCACTCCCATCAGCAGTGCAGGAGAGTTCCTTTTTCTCCACATCCTTGCCAACATTTGTTGTTGCTAGTTTTTTTAATATGTGCCATTCTCACTGGTGTGAGATGGTATCTCATGGTAGTTTTGATTTGCATTTCCCTGATTGCAAGTGATAAACATCACTTTGTTTAAACAGTGGAGAACGGATGGGAAGAAAACACAAGACTGGGAAAACTGTTATAAGGAGACAGCAGTAGCACAAGTGAGAGATGGTGTTTTGACCAGGAGAGTATGGCGACAATGAGATCAAAAAGGAGGCAGATGTGAGATATTAGGAGACAGAACTGGGAGAAACTGGTGATGGTTATGATGTGGTTACATGAATAGAATGAGAAAACCAGGGGGAGTCTGGGGTTTCTCTTGAAGAAGTAGGCAGACAATAGGGCAAAGGTAGGACCATTTGCTGGGTTAGGGTTTCTGGGAAGAGAGATGGGTTTGTGAGAGAAAGAATTAAGTCTGGCATATGCCCAAGAGACATCAAGCTGGAGGAGTCCTGTTGTCCAAAAATGGGTGTTCTAGGTCAGAAGGGAAATTAGGAGTGCAGACATAAATTAGCTGTAGTTTTCTGTCACTGCTGTGTCAAAAGACAAAGATACTCAATATATATTGATAATTATATCTGAGGGGAGATAGGGTAGCCCCTCACTGAGGCAGAAAGGAAACTAATGAATCCCAAGACATGAATCATCATATTGAAATACTTTATTTTCTTGGATAATAATATGCAACTTCAGATATCAAGCTGAATAAAATGGGCAATAATATTTGAGAGAGAGAGACCCCAATGGACTATGTGGAGAATTATGGGTACTTTGGTGGTGGATGTGGTGTGGGAACATATATCTGAAGAGGTGTGGACCTATACTACTAAATCATATACAGAGTTGTAAAAACCATCATTACCTCCATAGAAATAAAATAATTTTGAAAATTTGATAAGCAATTATCATTAAAATGATATCCAGCAAGCTGCAGCTGATTCAGCTAGACTGAAGTGAAACTGGGTTTTGGCCTAGAATGACTTTCCTAACTCAGGAGAGGTTGTTAAGATTTTGTTTTCTTAAAAGTCAGTCTTCCTTGAAGAGAGTCCCTTTTGCTCCTAAGTACATTCTAAAAGGGCACTGGGTATTGCTTACATAATAATCTCAAGATATACACATAAAATCACATACCAATAAATAGATTCAATCTCTTCTAAAAAAAAAAAAAAAAAGATAAAAGTAAAACAAAATGCCTGACTCATTGGACTTCCCAGTTCTATAGATCAAGGCTGTGGTCCGGGCATCTGTTTCTAAAAGTCTCAATAGGTGATTCTGATGAGAAAGCTAGAAAAGTGTTTATCATGTTCCTGTTTCATGGTAGTTGTTAAATAAATAGCATTGGGCAACATTACCTGTGCAATATTCTTGCCAAAGCTGTTCAACTGTCATCACCAGGAAACAGACAAGCCCAAATTTAGGGTCATTCTGCAAAATAATGACCTGGATTCTAAAATGTGAATGTTAGGGTAAAAGAAGCAGATAAGGAAGTAGAGGAAGAGGTTGGGGAGGAACAGTAGGGGGGCATTGAAAGAGAGAGGAGGAGGAGCAGAGGGGGGAGGGGAGAAGTGAGAGCAGATGGGAGAAAAAACAGGGATGTTTACTTGAACTAAAAGGAAACTAAGAGACAAGAAAATAAATGCAATGCATGACCCTCGACTGGATCCTGGATCTAAAAAACAAAACACAAATAGGTAAACAAAAGGCAGCTATAAAGGGCATCATTGGGACAACCATGGGTATTTGAATATAGACCATATATTAGAAAATACTATTTCGTCAAAATTAAATTTCTTGAGTATTCATTGTGTTACAGGGCAGGGAGAGGGGCAGCCCAAACCCCGCAAACCTGCCTGTTCTAAATGGGTTCTGCCATCCGCCGCATCAACACAAAACATATGAGACTTTAATGGGAAGGAACTTTAATACAACTAGGAAACAATATAGGAAAGGCAAAGAATCTAGTTTCTAAATCAAGCACCCAAAGTTACCCGTCCCCTCGTGGGTAAAACTCCTTCCAAATGGGATTGGCCCAGAGCAAGGCCCCAAAGCCTGACACAAGTCTAAAGCATCTTCCAGTGGGGACCCACAGAAAAGGGTCAGAAACAATCAGACAAGCCCGGAAGGAAAAGAGCAAAATCAAAATCAAGATAAAAGCTGCCGTTGTCACCTCCCCACGGGTCTCACCCACATCTGTGTCACCCAGTCCACGACCGAAAGACAAGCACAGTTTCTTCAAGTGTCTCTAGGCTCCACGTGCCTCCTCCAGGTCTCCTTCTGGCTCTGCATCCTGCTTCCTTCCTCTGCAGCTTCTTCTCTCCCTGCTCAGCTCCACCCTCCATTTGGGTGGGGCAGGGAACCTGGAACCTCCCCCTTTCCTGGGGACCACCCTGGTACAATTGTATGTGGTTATGTAGGAAAATTAATCCCTTTTTATAGAAAATTCGTGGTGATGTATTTAGGGAAAAAGCGGCTTTGCAACTAATTTTCAAATGGTTTGGCTGAAATATATATATAATGAAATCATTATTGTGACAAAATGATGTTGATAGATTAGGATATCTAGCTGTGTACTATACTATTCTTAAAACTTTCAGAAGATTTTAAAATTTTAAGTAGCAAAAAAAGACATTTTTAATGTTCCAGAGACATCAGCTGGATTCCTTTTGCACACATATTTTATTTTATTTTATCCTTTACATATCTATTTAATATACACTTACATATATGTGCATATGTCTATATAACTTCAAAAGAACACCAAGCAAATTATTGTGTTCATAGAATCATTAGCATTTAAACAAATAGATCATTGTTAGGGAAAAATAATTTAAACAAACTTTTAATTTTTGTAGGAAAGTTGCAGAGTGCAGAATTTTGGGGACATCAAACAAGGAATGACTATTGTGCCCAGAAAACTGGCAAAATGGAGTCATGGTTCCGTGAACAAGAAATCCGGGGACAGCTTCTCTGGGACAGTTCTAGCTCTGACTCAGATGCGTTGGGCAAAGACGAGAGGAAACCACGAGCACTGGTGAGGACCAGGACAGAGAAAATCCCGCTTTTTGATGAGTTTTTTGATCAAGAATAAGAGTGCTAATTCACTAACTTGAATGCTGAGTGCATTGAAGCTTGCTTTCTTGTTAAATTCTTCAATTTGTGTGTGAGTCTTCTGAGGAAACCAATTCACTTTCTTTTCATTTAGAGCCTTACTGTCAAAAGCTGTGACACATTGTTAAATATGCTGCAGAGCTAACTGCCTCAAAACGTAGGAGTTTAAACAACAGCCATTTATTGTTTCACTTCTTTGTGACTTGCTGGACTCAGGTGTCTGGTACTTCTAGCTGGCCTCTTGTAGTCTTTCGTGTCATTGAAGGCAAGTGGCAGCTAAGACTGGAGTCATCTGCAAGCTTGACAAGGACACTGAGTCAGCTAGATCCCGCCCATACTCATTCTCTTCATAGGTTTCCCCAAGTGGTCTCTCTAGAAGGGCAGTGACTTTGCCATTCTATCAGCGCTGAGCTTCCTAAAACGAAAGCAAGCTGAGTCCTCTCAAAGACCTGATGGAACGGATGACTTACCACTACCACTACATTCTCTTGGTTAATGTGGGTCATGGACTAGGTCACAGTTAGTTGGAAAAGGGAACTACTTCCAAAGTATGGTCCATAGAGCTGATCTTTAAGACTTACCATCACACTATTTTTCAAAAACCAAATTATATCTTATAAAATAAATGAGAGAGTAGATTTGATACAGATAAAAATCAGTTTTTAAGGACATCAGATTAATGCTATATGAAACACTTAGCTCACTAAGTCATTTTCTTGTGAGTTAGCAAGTTTGTTATCTCAACAAGGAAGCAACAAAAAAGAGGTGGAATAATGTGGAAGGTCACTGTGAATTAAAACTCAAAATAAATAAAGATTGCTTGGATTATGATGTAGATCTTATAACTCAAAAACTAAAAGGAAGCTTAGAAATTTCAGTCCAAAGTTTACTTCATTTTCAAAATTAGATTTTTAGGCAACTTTAAGAATTTCTTTTGTATAATTCAGGCTCACTTCTAGCATAATCTAAAAATACTTTTAAGCAATCCAAAAGCTTCTAAGAATTTAGTGAAAGTTGAGAGCATAGCAAAACAAAAACACTCTTTGAAGCCCTTCCTAGAAAATTTATATTTAGGAAAAAAAAATAGGGACACATCACCCAAATTTGACATTCAGTGCATTCAGATCAATCCCTCAGAAGAGAAAAGACTTACTATGTTGGAATAAAACGCTTGTGTTTGTTCCAGTAATGGAAGACTACCAGCTGATCCCTGGGTATTTCTACTCCCAGTTCTTCGTGCAAAGTATTCTTTTTCTTTCTGAGGTAGGTAAAAAATATGTTTCCTGCAAGAAATATATCAATTGTTTGACTGGCCAGGGGTTTTGGGGGTGGTGGTGAGAGGATTCACCAGAGACAGAGTAGGGAGTAGAACAGGCGCATCTACTGAAACGCTGCTGAGGGGAGCAGCATGAGACAGAAGTCTGCTGTGCAATGTGGGTAGCTCCCTAGCTGGGGATAGAACTCATGCTGCAGTGGCTGGTGATAGCTGGATAGTGCTGAGATATTAACCCCTGCACCACCAGGGAGGCCCTGACCAGCTAGTCTTCTAGAAAAAGTAAGATCCTCGAGAAGAGAAACATGTCCAAAATGTGATAGGCAGCTCCCTAAATGCCTAAATGTGATAGACAACACTGAAGATAGCAGGATATAACCATGTCCTCGGCACTCTGTGACTTGAAATAAGCAACACCCTTTCTGGAAGCTCAGTGGATTATGAGCTACATGAGGGCATGAAACATGTCCCCACCCTGTGGTATCTTTGCTTCCTAGCACAACATCTGGCAAAGAGTTTATTATTAAATGTTTGTTGAATCCGTTAATTTATGTGTTGAGTTAACTAGTCAATTAGGGAGGCACTTGCTTCTCTCCAGCTATACAGTTGCTCACACTCATTTCCATCATTTCCCGAGAGCCTTAGATATACAAGGTTGATTATACAGTAAAGAAAGGGATTTTTTTTAAGCTCTTGGAATTTATACATCTAAATGGATGGCATAAATTAAGCACTGCCTTGGGATATAGGAGCTAGACATATATGCTGATGAGGATGCCAGAGCCCAAATGATTTTTTCAAAACGATCAGAATGTGTGAACTGTGAAAGAAAATCAATCATGCCTTTTTCTGTCTGCGTTTCTTTTCCTGCTCCACACAAACCTCTCCCTCACCCAAATATAAAAGAAATAATTTGAAATTATAATAATAATAATGGTGATTGTAATAACTGCTAGTGTGAATTGATAGCTTATGGTATTGTAGGGTAAATGAGTTAATCAGTTTTTATGATACTGGCCTCTGTGGTGATCACCTGCAGCCTTGATTGTGTTAATGCAGAAGGCGCTGGGGTGCGTGGGCGCAGGGCACGCGTACCTGATTGTGGACACCTGAAGTATGGGTGTGTGCGCATGTGCAAGTGTGCACACCTGGGCCTAGGGGCTGGGATAAAAGCTGCAGCAGGGCAGCAATGAGAGGATGAGCAGCGTGTGACTATAGACGAGGCGAGGCTACGAGAGACACCAGGCTGAGAACACCACAGCGAGGCCATAGAAAGAGCGCAGATTCTTGGGGGACTCGGCTTGGGTGCATGCCTGCCTCCCAGCCCCCCTGCCCAGGTCTGCATCCTTGCATGCCAGCCTCCCTGCCTGCTGTGCCTGTGTGCCTGGTTCCCTGAGAACATTAGAGGCCTGTAAAAATCTACCTGGCTCTGGACTCTTTATCCATCTCCTTGAATTGACAGTGAACCTGCCCTGTGCCTGCTTGTACTACAGGTATGTAAGGCAGCCTGTATTTTATCCTCACAACTATAAATGTGATAATGGGGGAGATGATATTCTTCCCATTTTATAAATGAGGGAGCTGAGGCACAGAGAGGTTGAGTAACTTGTGAGAGCCACCCAGCAGAACTGCGTTTTGGTGTAGATGGTTGGTTACTGCAACGAACCTGATTGCAGCCAGAGCTCTCAGCTTCTTTCCCCAGTTTTGTCAACTCATTAGCTGCGTTACGTGGGATTCTGATTTCTGTTATATATCTTTTTGCTTTTGCTTTGGAGAGGGATATTATACTACAAAGGATTACAGCTTTGTGAGATTATTTTTTAGCAAGAAAAAATTTCCTTAGAGCCTAAATATTTAACTGTGGGTATAGGTGGGATAAAAACATCAGAGAAATATTTCAAGAATGCAAGTTTCCAGGACTGGAGAGAGGGGTGCAGAGAAGGCAGATGGGAGAGACACACTAAAGAGTCACCTCTGGCTTACACCCCAGTTCTTGTATGCATAAATAAATCTTTTTTAAAAATGAAAATGCATACATTGTGCAAAAATGAAAAATGATATAAGAATTATAAAATATATTAAATAAAAAATCTTTATTTTTTTATTTTTTTAAAGATTTATTTATTTAGGCATATAAGAGCTGGGGTACAGGCCAGAGATGTGGGGGGTGAGAAGATTCACCAGAGACAGAGTGGGGAACAGAACAGGCACATTGACTGAAGTACACTGCTGAGGGGAGCAGCGGGCAAGTCAGCAGAGGTCTGCTGCACCTTGTGGGTTGCTCCCTGGCCGGCTGGGGATCGAACTCGTGCTGCAGAGATTGCGAATTGCTTCATAGTGCGGTGCTTAACCCCTAGCGCCACCAAAAAAATAGTCTTCACAACTTGGCCAGGGAGCAGAATTGGTGAATGGGCCCCACCCCCACCCCAGGCCCCACAACACCTATCCAGGATGGAATTCAGTTGCACACAGAGGCTGGGGCTGCGGGGAAAAAATGTTGACCACAGGTTAGATTCACCTGGCAAGTGAACAAGAAACTAATAACAAGTAGGAGTGGGAGTGGCCACCTTGTGATTGGCCTGGGTTGGGGTAGAGCACTGGCATTGGGTTGGTGTTTTTGGTTTTGGATTCCAGGTAAACTTGGTGTTCAGTCAAGGTTGAAAACCACAGCTTTAGTGCGATGGACATTCATTTTACCAGCAATATCAACTTCTATCTTTAAAAGCAAAAACTTCTGACATAATCTTTTAAAGGTAAAAAGTTCATAATTATCGAACACTAATCCCTTTATCCTGAATTGGTTTAAAGCAACATAGGCCCATCAGTAAACACAGCCATTGCTGGTAAAAACCATAAAATTTAGCCTGGAGGCAAAGTTGTCAATTTACTTCAACTGAAAATCTCAACTTTGGAAAGAAAAAAGGCTTGTCTTTGGCTAAATGAATGATTTTTCTTGTGAAAATATTTTCCTTCTTGCTTTGAATTTTTCATGAGAAAAAGAACCATCTTTCCCTGGCATACTTTCAGAAATGTGCTTTTCTCATTTTTTTTTTTTTTCAGTCAAAACTATTTCTCTACTGAGTTACTCTAGTGGGGCTTAACTAACGGGGACTCTTGCAGGAGTCACCTATGAAATCAGCTGGTAAACAAATGGATAGTTTCCTGCTTGCACGAGGCATTTAAAAACCAAACCAAACACCATGTCTCCATGCCCCTGGCTTTCTCTCCACCACAGCACACTGATCATCAAATCATTAACATCAACTACTTCCTGCCTCAAAAGAATGACAAAATCCTACTTCCACACATGACCCCCAAGCTCCACTAATTTAGAATCCTGCAGGGAGCACTTGGGAGGAAGTACACCAAAGGGTGGATTAGGGCAAGTCAGACCACTAAAAATCTGAATTATGTTCTCCTTTGTAAAGAAATATTCTTTTATTCAAGCACAGAATAAACAAAAGATGTTTGAGTATTAAGTCAGTAATGGCCTTATTTTTTTTTAAAGATTTATTTATGCATACAAGAACTGGGGTACAGGCCAGAGATGCAGGAAGTGAGAGGATTCACCAGAGAGAGAGTGGGGAACAGAACACACGGATTGACTGAAATGCACTGCTGAGGGGAGCAGCGGGTGAGACAGGAGAGGTCTGCTGCACCATGTGGGTTGCTCCCTGGTGGGCCAGGGATCCAACTCGTGCTGCAGAGGCTGCAGATTGCTTCATAGAGTGTGGTGCTTAACCCCTTAAGCCACCAGGGAGGAGTAATGGCCTTATTTTTAATGCAGACTTTTCATGAAGTATGCAACTCACTCATTTAATGCTGCATTTTGCAAATAGGTTTGAGTATTACATGCCAAGCGCTTCCAGATACTGAAAGTTTCACCACAAGCAGGACAACGTCCCTTGCCCTTGGGTTCCCTTCCAGGGGGGAGACTACACGCAGATAGTTGACATGATACAGTTTCAGGTGATATAAAGCATTTTGAAGAAAAATGAAGCAACTGAGAGGGTGGGTGTGGATGGAGTGGCTGTTTCAGGCAGGATGCACAGGTAGGGGCTCTGAGCAAGAGACCTGAGTAAAGGCAGGGTGCCGGTCATCACAGGACCCTTGGCAAAGTGTCCCAGGCATTGGAAGAACAAGTACAAAAGCCCTGAAGTGAGCATGAGCTCAAAAAGTTCAAGAGCCAGCAAGAAGGCCAGGATGGCATTCTGAGCAAAACTATGGCAAAGGGGTGATGAACTGGGAGGATATCGGGAGGTGGTCAGGACCCAGAGGTCGAGGTGCCCAGAGGACCTGGCATGACGATGGCTTTGAGTGTGACAATTTCAGAGATAGAATGGCTGGTTCCGGTCTATGTTGCCATCTTCAATATGATTGTGAAAAGAGGTAGACAGACCCACTGAGGTCATGTAAGCGGCGCTGAATGACCTTGACCCAACTAGGCCTGAAAGAGGACTCGGTCTCTGCTGCTGGAAGGAAGTGCAGGGAGCCAGGGACACAAGAACACTGACCGACAAGAGACAGATTCAAAGACCAGGGGCTGGTTGAGGTCCCACAGTACAAAGCAGCACATGCTTTCTTCATCTCCTGTCCTCCTGAGGCCCTGCTGCTTCATTCCTTTAATTCTGAGACTGTATTCTTCTAGTAAGTTCCATCTTCTACGTAGGCCAGAAACACTGATTACTGTTTCATAAAGCCCAGGAATCAATGAATCACTTTTTAAAACATCACCTCCTTGCTATATAGTGTAACTCCAATGGGTGTGAA